GATCCACCATACTGTCTCTCAAAATGCCACTGACAACCAACGTCGAGACATGTTCTCATCGCTTGCCGACGAATGTGAAATTCTTGTTTTTGGCCTTCCATTAACGTTCACAGGCACACACTACCAAGCTGCCAAAGCCCTCTTGTCGTTCCTTGGCTTTGGTCAAGGCTGTGACTGCCCTTCCATCTACGCCTGTCGGGAGTGGATTTCGGCCACTCGCCAAGACACTCAAACTCAATAGCCTCCTCGCAACTCGGCAACCATCGCCACCCACTCCTCAGCACCTCAAATTACCAATGCAAATCGGACAAACACTTCCGCATTTGTATTTCAACTTGGCAGCCCACTGCTGCGAGACAAAGTGGTCAAGTCTTCTTCAAAGTTGAAAGACAAGACCTCTCTGGATGTCTTTGGTTGTGGTGGCAGATCGCCTGTTTACATCCGTCCGCTCTGGCCCAAGCCTGTGTTTGACCTATTCTCGTTAGCCCTCTCTTTTAGCAACAGGCATAACCTTGGTCGCCCAGTAGTCCGGAATCTTCGCGTATGCATGCGGAAGAATCGTCGTGCTACGCCCATCCCAATCTTGTCTTCTAATGATTTTCCACGATTCCTCCCATCTCGTACCTCAAACTCTGGAGAAAATAGTACTTTTTCTGCTGCTCCACTTCAACATCAACCTGAAGCCTCCCTGGCTAACCCACTACAACAGACTAGTGATGAACCATCTGACACAATGTCTTCATGACAGTCTGATCTCAAATCGGCTGCACGCATACAACATCACCTTTCCATCGGTCACATTAACATTAATCGTTTAGACTCATTCACACACTTTTCCCTACTACAAGCCAAATGTTCCTCCACGTACTTCGATATCATTGCGATAACCGAAACCTATTTACAACATGATTTCCCCGATACTCATCTAGCCATCGAGGGTTTCAAATTTTTCCGCCTCGATCGTGTCGGCAAAAAAGGCGGCGGATTTGCGATATATATGCGAAATCATTTCAGCGTCAATATTCTAGTCACTTCGGACCCACAGTATGATAACACTCCTGAATTTATCCTTTGTGAAATAAAGTATGCCAATTATAAACTGCTATTTGCCGTCCTTTACCGTCCTCCCCATGCTCACGCTCCTTTTCACTTTTTCAATTGTTTATTTGCCTATCTTCCTCACTTCCAAAACGTTTTAATCACTGGCGACTTTAATGCGGACTTATCATCTTCCTCCCTTTCTGATGCTTGTACACTCCGCACTCTGATTGTAAACAGCGGACTAAGTGTAGTCTCTCTTGAACCTACTCACCATATCATTGACAAGTCTCCTCCCTCCCACACCACGCTTGATCTTTTTATTACCAACGCATAAGCAAGGTTGTATGGTTCTCACAATCGCATGCGCCCTTTATCGCGGGCCATGACTTCATTGAGTTACACCTTGCTTACGCTCGTACTGAACACTTTAAGAAAACCATTTGCACACGACAACTTTCCTCCATAAATACTGAAATTCTGTTAGGTACCGTGCATGAGAGTTTCAACTCCCTACCTATACTCTCTACCAACGCCAGTCCTTCCCTATCTCTATCTTTAGACTATGTTGACAATCTTGAACGCTTGATTGCGAAGAACATCTCCTCGTCCTTTGACCTTGTTTCTCCTATTCGCACTATTGCTTTATCATCCAAGCTTAAGCCATGGGTCTCCCCTCAAATCCGCTCCCTCATGCGTAAACGTGACTGCGCATATACCATCGCAAAATCCACGCAACATCCCACTGATGTTCGTATTTATAAATCGCTTCGCTCGAAAGTCTCTAACGACCTATCTGCAGCAAAAAACTCTTTTATAAAATCGAGAATTGATTCTGCTGCTGACTGTAAATCTAAGTGGCGTGAAATAAATGCCCTTGGAATCAGCAAACCCTCCCATCCCTCTCCTCTTCTTTTTTTCGATGCCGATGCCCTTAATCGGCATTATGCGTCCGTTGCCAACAAACTCCCTCCTATCACCCTGGATGAGTTTCAAGCCATCCTATCAGAACCCCCTCCTCATACTTTCAACCTTCCCACGTTTTCTCTGTGCACCTTCTCCGTCAACGAAGTTGAGAATGCGCTCATTAATAGCGTGTCTCGTGGCCAAGGACTGGATGGTATCTCGTCCAAAATGCTTAAACTTGTTGCACCTGTAATTTCTCCGTATGTTACTTCACTTTTCAACAAGTCCATCACTTCTGGTTCTTTTCCCTCCGATTGGAAACGCACCCTCATCTGTCCCCTCTCAAAGGTATGCAACCCCCTATCTCCCTCTGATACTCGTCCGATCGCCAAAATTTGTGAATTGTGCAAGACATTTGAACGTCTTATACATGCACAACTCTCTCACCACCTTGAATCCCATAATATTTTGTCCCCTCGTCAATCTGGTTTTCGTCGTGGTCATAGCACCGAAACTGCTCTCCTTACAGTTGTTGACGATATTCGTCACGCCATTGACAAGCGCAAACTAACCATTATGGTTATGTTTGACTATTCCAAAGTGTTTGATTCCATATCACATACCATTTTGATCAGGAAGCTGCGCTCCATAAAGGCCAGTGACGCCACACTCAAGTGATTTTTCAGCTATCTCGCTGATAGACTTCAGGCTGTAGTGGATGCTGGCGGAAAAGCCTCGGAGTGGCTGCGCACTGCTACTGGTGTGCCGCAAGGGAGCGTCCTAGGTCCCCTTCTTTTCGCTATTTTCATTAACGACCTCCCCTGTGTCCTCCGTTTTGCAAATTATATGTTGTATGCGGATGATCTTCAAATTTACGTGCACTGCGACTACGACAGTCTTGCTGAGGGTATTGCCCAAGCTCAGTACGATGCGGATGAGGTTATCCAATGGGCTCTCTTAAACGGCCTATCCATTAATCCCTCTAAAACTCAAGTCATCATCTTTGGCAGTGAACTCTATATCTCGCGCATCGACTTCATTAATCTCTCACGTATCTCCGTGCTTGGTACCTCCATTCCCTACTCCGGGACTGTCAAAAGTCTTGGTGTCACGTTAGCCAGTACCCTCGACTGGAAGTTCCATGCTGCAACCACTGTTCGCAGAGTCTACTCTTCCCTTCACTCACTCAAGCACTACAAACACTCTCTGCATCAGCCCCTCCGTAAACAACTTGTTGAGTCCCTTGTTTTTCCCCACTTCGAGTATTGTTCAACTCTCCTGCTGGACCTTGATAAAACTCGGATCTCTGAACTCCAAATCGCCCAAAACGCCTGTACCCGTTTCGTAGTCGGTCATATCCCTTTTATTCCGACAAACAGTATATTCTCTCATGTTACCTACCACAGGCTCCAACTAAAATGGCTTTCATTAGCAAACAAGCGACTTCTTGCTCTTGGTACTCTTGCATATAAAGCTCTTTCCCATAAAACTCCTTCTCAGCTCCTGAATCATTTCTCAGACCCAATTTGTGTCACGTTCTCAAATAGGTCAAAACGGAACCCTCCTTCCTGTCTTAACTATGGTGCTCCCCGCACCCAGGCTTGGAATAACTCTTTCACCATCAGTGCCTCTCGCTTACTAAATCGTCTCAGTGTAACAGATTTTTCTCCCGATCGCCTAACTGAATTTAAAAATTGGTTTCGCTCACTTTTGTTCACGCTTGAAATCACTGCTTGGAGTACTCTTGCTCGTTTCGAAAATTTTGTTCCACTTGAAGCCCTCTACCACCTTCCTGCTCCCATACTACCTTTCCACGCCTCGCAATTTACTATCTCCAATCTCTACCTGGAAGTTCGTGGGCGCTATTTAGATATCTACTTGCTTCATCCCTCCCAACTCCCAGCAGTCTTACTCGCAAGGCTATAATTCTTATGTGTTGTCTGTCTCATGAGGTGTTGTCATACTGTTGATCCATGACCATTGTTCGATTATTTTTCATAGGCCTTTTCGAATTACGATAGTACTCGGCTTATAATACGCTATGTTTTATTATCATCACTGTTATTATTTTTCGCCCTACTATATATTTTATTAGTTTTAAGTTACGTTTATTCTTTATTTGATCTTATAACTGTTAAGTTCAATTTCTCGCTGTTATTACTACTTAAACCTATACGGGATATCTTGTTCCCGTATACCTGCATATCGCCTACATACGGTTAATGGTTGCATGTTAAATTGTTTGCAACCCTTGATAAACTTTTGTATTTTTCTTTGTAGCCAGACGGGGTACTACCCCAAGGCAAATAAATGAACTCACTCACTCACTCACTCACTCTCTCTCTCTCTCTCTCTCTCTCTCTCTCTCTCTCTCTCTCTCTCTCTCTCTCTCTCTCTCTCTCTCTCTCTCCTTTGTGCCTGAGTGTGGACGTCTACCCGAGCGTGTAGAAAGATGAATAGCCGATGCCGCTGACCAACAATTTTTGGGCCTGAGGAATGCGCGATTGATAGGACATACGAGTGTTGAAGCAAAGCTGTCATTGCTATCCCTGCGCTCCGAATTATCTATTTGGAGTGAAAATCAATTGTTTTTTATTTCTTTTATAAGTGCGCATTAATGATCATTTGTGTATATGTTCACCCTGTCCTCACAGTAATCCAAATCGTGAGTGATTCGGAGGCATATAGTATTCTTTATAGTTCGAGTTTATTTACGCGCTAAGAGCCCGAAACTTGAAAATAATTTATTCACCCCGAGCAAATAAGCTAACAATAGTTTTATTGCAGCGAATTCCGTGAGACAGAAATACGAGTCATTTCTACTCGAACTATTATTTTGAAATTTGATTTTCAAATGACTTTCAACCTGACGTTCTAGAGTGAAAAGGGCCCTGAGTTTGGTGTCATCTTGTCAAAATATAAAAAAATATGTATTATTTTTCATACAAAAGACTTTTTTTCGTCATTATTATTAGGCGGGAGTGTATGCAATATTTTCCAAGAAAATTTTAATAAGCAATATTTACGAGTATTAAAATAGAATTTCGATTTTATAGCGGAAGTATGGAACCAGCATTTCACCGAGGAGATTTACTTTTCCTGACAAATTATAAAGAAGAACCTATAAAAGTTGGAGAAATTGTGGTTTTCAAAGTAGAAGGACGAGATATTCCTATCGTTCATCGAGTTATGAAACTTCATGTAAAGTAAGTAAAGACTAAACAGTAAAAATTAAAGTTTTGTTATTCTTGACACTCTCCATTTTGTTAAGCAAAATTTTAAACCAATTTCAGAGCCAACCCGTTGTGAACAAAATAATAATCAAACAATCATCTCAGGTTACAACACGTGTGTTTCGTTGGTAAATATCCAACCTCATCAGATCTTTATTAAAAAAGAAACAAAACGAGAAAATGGTTACAATAACAGATATAAACCAAAAACAAATAAAAATCACGCTAACAAAACATTTACCTCAATTCGCAAGTCACAATCAAATAAAGTCAAAAATACACTGTCAAACATAATATTCGCTCAACTACACAAAGATCAAATCGGACAACGACTATGCAATAATGCAAATCAAAACAGTGTCTGTTGCCTTTTATACCAAAACAAACCACCGGTAGACACAATCAGATGTATCCCCTCTCCTATGCATGAAAACGGTACATTAAGCATCATTGTACATCAAAACAAAATAATAAAAAATATTGTAAATAAATATGAGATCAGTCAGCTAAGATATCAAATAAACCTTTATATTGTTTACTCAGTAAACTAGTGTCTTCTTGTCTATTTATAGTGTTATAAGACAAATTAATATAAATCATTTCCGAAATTAATCTCTTACAATAGTTAGACTCTCTATCTAAAATTATTGTGTTGTCCCAGTCAAACGAATGTATAGGATAATTTTTCAAATGCATCGGAACCGGAAGAGATTTATCTAAAGGTGTCTTCCTATGCTCCTCTATGCGTTTTTTTAAACATCTCTTAGTTTGACCAATATATACAGACGGGCAACTATCATATACATTTGTCTCATTCCATTTTTCTGTAACATCTTTACCCAGTTTTATTATGTTGTCCAGCTTATGATTAATTAAAGGTATACAATGAATATTAAACTTTCTTAAACTATGGTTACATAAGTTAAAAAATTTTTTATGAAAAGGCAACGTTAAAACCATCGATTTGATATTCATATTTTTTCTATCATCCTAAGTAGCACTACTATTCCAAAATCTATGTTTACGAATGGATCCAATATAATTATTAACGGTTTGTTTGAATGTCGGGGATTATAAATCAAATATGATTGAATTATTGAAGGATGTGAATACATATAAAATTGTAACTGGTAAGAATGTTTTGAGATCGATGCAATTAAGGGTTTATAAAATTCTCCGTGATTTTAATGAAAAGGGTTATTTAAATTTTAAGTATAATAAATATGCTCTCACGCAAACTAACATGGTACTCTCAAAAGCGTATGGCCTTCCTAAAATTCATAAAGCTGGATATCCACTTAGACCTATTATTTCAACTGTTAATAGCCCGGTTCATTTTTTATCTACAGTTTTAGACAAAGAAATAAAAAAATGTAATTTACGGTCTTTTTCACATATTGATAATAGTTTTCAACTTATAAAAAAACTTCAGAACATAACAGTTCCGTCAGATTATATGTTAATTTCATTAGATGTCAGCTCTTTGTTTACAAACGTTCCGTGTGATTTAGTCATTGAGAGTCTTGATAGACGATTTAACAAGATTCACTCTGTTTCGGAGATACCTTTTACTGAAATAGTTGATACGGTAAAGTTTTTGTTTAATAATTCTTTTTTCCAGTTTGATGGAATAATTTACAAACAGATTTTTGGTACACCGATGGGTTCTCCAATATCGCCGTTGTTTGCTGATTTAGTTATAGATGATTTGGAGACAGATTGTTTAAATGTTTTGCGAGAAAAATATAATTGTTCACCACTTTTTTATTTTAGATATGTAGATGACACTATTTTATGTATAAAAAGGGATAATTTGCAATTGGTTTTGGACATTTTTAATAATTACAATAATCATTTAAATTTTACACATGAAATCCATTGTAATAATAGTATAATTTTTTTAGCATTTCGTTAATAATCAAAAACGGTAAAATTGTTACTAATTGGTACCAAAAACCGACTTGTTCAGGCAGAATTTTGAATTTTTATTCTAACCATACAACTCAGCAAAAAAGAAACATTGTATATAATCTGATTGATAGATCTTTATTACTATCTGATGCAACCTTTCATGAAGACAATATAAAAATTGTTAAGAGCATTTTAAAAAATAATGATTACCCGGATAAATTTGTTAAAATATGTATATTGGATCGCATTCGTAAACATAGATTTTGGAATAGTAGTGCTACTCAGGATGATAGAAAAAATATGAATATCAAATCGATGGTTTTAACGTTGCCTTTTCATAAAAAATTTTTTAACTTATGTAACCATAGTTTAAGAAAGTTTAATATTCATTGTATACCTTTAATTAATCATAAGCTGGACAACATAATAAAACTGGGTAAAGATGTTACAGAAAAATGGAATGAGACAAATGTAGTATACAAATTTTATTGTGATAGTTGCCCGTCTGTATATATTGGTCAAACTAAGAGATGTTTAAAAAAACGCATAGAGGAGCATAGGAAGACACCTTTAGATAAATCTCTTCCGGTTCCGATGCATTTGAAAAATTATCCTACACATTCGTTTGACTGGGACAACACAATAATTTTAGATAGAGAGTCTAACTATTGTAAGAGATGAATTTCGGAAATGATTTATATTAATTTGTCTTATAACACTATAAATAGACAAGAAGACACTAGTTTACTGAGTAAACAATATAAAGGTTTATTTGATATCTTAGCTGACTGATCTCATATTTATTTACAATATTTTTTATTATTTTGTTTTGATGTACAATGATGCTTAATGTACCGTTTTCATGCATAGGAGAGGGGATACATCTGATTGTGTCTACCGGTGGTTTGTTTTGGTATAAAAGGCAACAGACACTGTTTTGATTTGCATTATTTCATAGTCGTTGTCCGATTTGATCTTTCTGTAGTTGAGCGAATATTATGTTTGACAGTGTATTTTTGACTTTATTTGATTGTGACTTGCGAATTGAGGTAAATGTTTTGTTAGCGTGATTTTTATTTGTTTTTGGTTTATATCTGTTATTGTAACCATTTTCTCGTTTTGTTTCTTTTTTAATAAAGATCTGATGAGGTTGGTTATTTACCAACGAAACACACGTGTTGTAACCTGAGATGATTGTTTGGTTATTATTTTTTTCACAACGGGTTGGCTCTGAAATTGGTTTAAAATTTTGCTTAGTAAAAATAAAGCTACGCATATGCATATTATATGATGTATTTTTATGAAGTATATACTTATATTATATTGAAGTTAGTTAAGAAAAATAAGATTAAACAATCGACCAAACTCAAAATATTTCATATGTGGAATTTTATGTTTTTAATCGAAAGTTATAGACCTCTAATCACTCATATCAATTTTCGAATAAATTTTGTTGACATTTTCGACAAGATTTGTGAGCACAAGTTGAAACATGGAAAATTAAAAAGGGATTTGCACTTATACAGTGATGGTCCATAAAATAGGACCACCAATGACTAAATTCAAATGAGATTCAAAGTTTTTTATCTCGGTTAAAAATATTCACACAGACATCAACGAGTACTTATTTCGAAGGTATTTTCGCTAATTCAATGTAAAGTTTTGTTAAGTTAATTTTAAACTTTTTATTCGCACAATTCAATAACCCATCTACAAAAATTCTGTACTAATAGTTTTGAAGCTCTTTCTAAGAGCTTGTAAATCTTTTTTATTTTTTAAAAAACTAATTGTGTTTCGGTGATTTTTATCGAAAAAATAGTAAATTTTATTTTCGTTTGTATTTACTATAGTAACTCGTTTTGTCATCATGACGTACAGTTCTGAGCCGCCCGACTCTCCTCTACATAAATATTATACATGTCATCCATCTACAAAAGTTGGTGCAGTAGTTTGCTTAGTGTATGAAAATTTCTATTGTACTAGTGAATTAGTGTCCAAATATAACGCAGGAAGCTCCATCAAATTCATAAACATTCGTAATCTGCCAAGACCATCCTAATCTACCGCTCACCTCAAATCTACCATATGGTAACTTGAACAAGGAAGCAAGACAACTGATAGCTCAACTCAATCTTGTAAATAGAGAGCAGATAAAACAGAAATTATTAAATGAAATCATATACGAAAAACAAACAGATAAAATAGAAAATATTAAATGAAATTAACACGAAAAATAAACAGAAAATGGCAAAATCATGGAAACGACAACATATGAAGATTTCGAAGAACTGCAAGCTCTCAAAATACAAAACAATTTATTAAAAAAATTATGTAATGAAACAAAAGAAAAAAATTAATTATTAAATGAATTATTATTGAAAGAAAAACAAAATAAAATTACAACACTATTCAAAAATTCATATTCTGAGGTTGCCATAATAACCAAATCTACTGCAAAAAAATTACCAAGATTAATAGTTAAAAAAACAAATACTATCGATAATACAAATCTTGAAAACGTTGTAACCCATTATTTGACCAAAGATAAAACTCTGCAATCTAAAATGTTACATGTGAATAAAAATAAAGATTCATTTATAATAAATTGTATATGTGACGGGAGAGGGTAGGGAAAAAACAATTCATTAAATTTTCGCGGCCTCAAATGCCACCAGCGGCGCAGTCACCCGAATTCGCAGTTAGAATTTTGTCTTGGGCGCCAGTTACTGACCTCGCGTTAGGAGGACAGGTAGTGCTGTAGGTCGGCTGGCTCTGGTCGCTAAAAGTCGGATAGCTTGCTGTTTTTTCCGCATGCTGACCTCGCTGGCCACCTAGAAGTGGGAAAACGAGTGCGCGAATTCCTATCTAGCGTGCGGAAGAAAATGCAGGCGACGGCTAGTCAAAATGTCGGGCACGGAAACTCCTTTTAGCAGCGGGTCGTCGAAGCGGCGGCTCAAGTTGCCTCAGCAGCAATCTAAGGTAGTGATAAGACTGTAGCGCGCTCACCCAATGGCGTCGAAGCGTTAGCACGCTCTAGCCGGCTCCGCGTAGCACGACCGCAA